AACATCATAATAACATATGCCAATAGCGTAGCAGCATCTTTACGCTCCTCCACATATATCATTTCTACGTGATTTCATCTCGAAAAGTTCGAATATTCTTCCTGGTAAAGAGAAGATTTCCCGTGTGAAATTTGCCCTCCGACTTGGGAAGCTCTGGAAGCGGCGTCGAACGCGACGTCCAACGGGGCGTCCTAAACCAATATTCTTACCGGATTCTGTGCCTGGACCACTTCGTATGTCGTATCCAATTTCGAGAGGGGCAGGGGCCGGGGGAGGCGGGATGGTCGTGTCCATCGAAAATCCACCCTTCGTCTCACTGTACTATATCCCTTTTCGTTCCTCATTCCTCATCCCTTCTTTCTCCACAGCCTCAATATATACAGCCTCTTCCAACACGATCTCTTTTATCCAAACTCACCATTCGACCCTGTATAGAGACGAGGAAGGATGCGATGGATTCACCAAACCACGTGACCTGAACACTCGATATTACGTTTGTGATTGGCTGCTGATCCGTCTTAGAGTAAATATAAAGAGTCTCGGAATATTCGATAAAAGGTAAAAAAAAAGATATTCTCACGTATCTCACACATCAGACACATCTCGGTCCGGTGGCTTCGGAAATTCTCCCAAATCCCATCCACTCGTGCCGTGAGCGAAGTATAAGTTTCCAATAAATCGTCTCCTTTCGCGCACGAGCTAACACGTGGCCACTTGGAGTTCCCATAGTTCCGCGATCCTACACGTACGTTACACCCGGTACTAATTAACCAACGTGAAAAAGAAAAAAAAAAAAGACTGGCGCGATCTATCTTCCAATTTTCCCATCTTCCCGCCGGCGAAGGTTCGAGCCCGAGATTAAAGTAAGAACGCAGGTCTGTGCCCTGTATAAATATTGAACGGCGCAGGGATTTATGGCCGAGCAGGATACCCGTGCAAGACCAGCCACAGTCTACAGTTAAGGGGTGTACAGAGAAAGGATACTCCCCTTTCGGTACCAACCCCCTGCGACCAAGTAAGGCAGCCAGCGAGAGACCCAACCCTACCTGAGCCCCCCGACATCCCGATCGGTCAAAAGGGCAGAGCTAATTAATGTATTGTTTCGCCGGCTGCGGTCCGCAGGAAATCTGCATCCGCTGAATATGCAACGGAGCGCCGAGCACGAACCAGCTTCATCTATATGAATATCTATCGATTTCACCGCCGAAAAGGGGTACATCCGATTTACCCTCAGAGCCCTCCGAACCTCTGACCCCCTGCGACCCCCCCAATACTCCAGCGTCCTTCGCCCCTGATTCACACTTCCATGCGTGCCTACAGTCGACTCAACCAAAGTCACGCGTCCTGCCTGAGCTAGCTGAACACGTGCTTAGAATCCTAGCCTAACCCAGCCCCAGCCATACCTCATGACTTCACCTAACCTAACCTGGGCTTGCCTCGCTGAAGACGCCCGTGTCCGTGCTGATGCATCACATAGGTGAACGAAGAGACGCACCAATTTAACACCGATATAATCTGATTCACGCGTCTAGCCCGAAGTGCGTATCTCGAGCCGGTCCCGAGGTCATCGGACCCCCTGCATCATTAGCGTCTACGTGCCACTTCGTTCGCATCGGTTACGTCTCGGAAATTGGGCAACTCCTCGTAATCCAAAGCCTCGCGTCGTAACACCAGTTTGTTGAAAGTCAGCGCGAGCACCGACGCCCCGACGTCACGACGCGGCGTCAGCGAAAACTGCTACAGCCGTGTCGTGACTCTGACTCAATTTCCTCGTCGGGGGATCGCGATTGTTCGAACGCCGTAGGCGCATCGGAGGACCTTGAAATTTCGAAAGGATTACAAAATTTCAAATTTCGAAATAACCTTTTTTTTTTCACGAGACCACCAGTCACCTCCCATTCTTATGATTCGCGCATGCGCACCGAGTCGTTTTCTATTTTACGTCCAGAGACCGCAAAAGGATTCGGACGTCTAAGGATTTTGAAAAAGCACCCAGACAACGAGCACGTAGAGGATTTGTGTTTCGCCTAGACCGTAGGTGGTCACGGTGCCATAAACAAGTATAATTAATGTATGGCGCGAGAAGCCCCTTTAAGAAATTAATCAGCCTGCTTCCCGAGGAAAGGATCGATCGTCGAGTTACGTGGAGTTTCCTTGTAAATAACGCACCGTATCCCGTCTTCACTCGCGTCCATCACCTGAGCCTCACGAAGTAGGTGTGTGTACCAGAACCACGCGTGTACGCACGTGTGCCCTGCATATGCACGCGTCTCCAAAGGCCACTGGAGAAAACGGCACGGTGTATCTGTTGGCGGCAATCAGTGTCGAATAAGATACGAGCGTGTAATAGCAGTTGGATGACTGGTTTGTTGCGGCCTTTTAAAAGCCTTCCTCTTGGCATCGCTTCTCTATGTTCTGCTCCCTCCCTGTACGGAGGGCAAAGAGAGAAAGAGAGAGAGAGTGAGAGAGAGAGAGAGAGAGAGAGGGGGGGGGGG